GGATTTATTCATTCTCACCAGCCACCATCATTCACCATCCAGCCACCAACCGCTGCATTGAAGACCCTCTCCCAGAGCAGAGGATGCTGTTGGAGTCAGAGTGTGCTCGGTGTCTTGTGGCCTGATCATTTACAAGTACTTCTAAGCTGTTGAAAGGAGTTGAGATAGCTGCCTTGTGTCCAGTGGTGTATTGGGGTAATACTTTGGTCTAGAACCCAGACCCAGTCAGTCTAGACTTGGGGGAGGGCACTCCTCCTATCCCACTCCAGAGACCAGGTTTTCTCTTAATGAAGCTTTCAACGAGACATAGAAAAACACACAGATTTATTGCATATCAATCTCATGTATAAATTCATTGTAGCATTGGAAAGATTACATTTGGTATCCAGTCATCCTATTCTACAGCATTGACCTCAAAGCCAGCCTCTCCTGGCTTTTACCTTACAGAAATCTCTACACAAGTACATTTATCTTTGCCACAAGCCTCAAAATGAGATCTGCAAAAATCACTTTCGACTATTCTCTACGTCGCGTCTCCATAACGCATGATTCTCCCACAGCGATCTCCATAGTCATCAGGAACGGCGGTCCGTTTTCATGGGCGTTTCGGGCCTCCTGGCCTTGACTCAGACCCTAACCACATATTCAGTAAGTGCATCTACGGGATTTTCCTCGTAATAAAAATCTCACAAACAGACACAATAATGACCGCTAAACACGAGCCATGCACAGCTTATCAACACAACAGCAATTTACAAAGGAAGGCGACGAGGACAGACCCCAGCCTCCTCCTCCATGGTTTTTAATTCTTTAACATTATATGAAAACCAGACATTTACATTTGATTTCTTTCTCAACACTAGATAGTTCTAAAAGGAAAAACAAAACAAAACAGAAACAGAAACAAATTGAGTCAGATCTGAATGTGACAATGGCAACACTCGTACAGTCTCGAGATTCTCACAGGTGTCAGGGATATATATATATATATATTTATATTTATATACTATTGGTTCAAAATCCATACAAACCACACACACACACGCGTATACACACGCACCACATACGCACACACACTCGCACACGCGCACACACACACACAGGCTTTAAGTTAAGTATTCTGACACCAGGGCCCCGCGTCCCCCATGCTGGAGAGAGTAGCAGTGCTACAGGAGGCAGGGAAGAAAATCCCCAGCTTCCTCCGCTTTGCAAGTGAATCACACAACTAGAAATTCGAGCTGCCTTTCTGGACTCAACCTTTTCCCTCCTGGGAGTGGTGGTTTGAACTGGTGACAGAAAGGAATTAAACAAACACGTGACGGGAATGGTGAGAGAGGAACTTCTCTGGGAATCACGCGAGAATGTCTTGTCACAGTATCGCTCAAGGGCTACAGAGACAATTTTCATGGCTTTGGATACCCGGCTGGTCTCTGTGGACAGGAGTGTCCTGGTGTCCACTGGCAAGAGGGGGTGCCGTCCATCACAGGCTCCCCACCCTCCTGTCCCAGCAGCAGCACAGGGGGCCTCCTCTTCCCTACCTGGAACAGCACAGTGAAAGTTCAGTAGGTTTCAGTCACTTGGGCAGGGAGACGGGGGGGGGGGGGGGGGGGGGGGCGATAGGGACCATGATCCAGTGCTTTGCGCTTTGAGTCTAAAACACATGATATGCATTTGAGCAAGGGCTTCATACACACTCACTGGGGAAGCAGAGGAGGAGGAGGAAGCCAACGGCCCTGTGGGTCTGAGCTCTGAGAGGCAGAGGGGTTAGGTCAGTCAGGGTCTGGGGATCACCTGCTCTCCTGGTCTTAGAAAGTGGGGCTCCTCTCAGGCTGGGCAGGCTCAGCCATGTCGTGCTTACCCACTGCTGGTTTGGCACAGGAATGCCCTGGGTTGTCTCCTGCATGCAGGGTCCACCTCGCCTGCAGGATGGTGAAGCCCCATCTTTCCTGCCTGCTCTTCCTAGGAAAGGCGGCTGTCACAGGGGAAGAATGGGGCCTTGTCTGGGGCTGGAGGGAATACAGACAAGGAGGCCTCCTCTTGAATATCTATTTTGGCAGGCAAGTACCAACAATTGGAAGGACAACATCAGGGAAACAATCCTGGCTGGACACTTGTCCGACCATTCCATGCACATGGCAACAGGCATGGTTTGGGTCCCTGGTAGTCAGGATCCTGGAACTCATATCTGGTCCAGTTCCGTGACCCTGAGAGAATCTTCTGTGTCTGACACTTGGCTCGAGTCAGCTGGACACCACAAAAGTGCAGAGATGTCAGGTAGGCAGAGCTCACTGTCTGGGGGCCATGCAGTGTGGAGACAGATAAATCTGGGGTCAGTTCTGTTTTTGTCAGGGGGGGCAAGTGCTGGGCCCAAGGGTTGACTGCTCAGGAGAATCTGGGCTTAGCCATCGATGCCTCTTGGGGACAGGGATGGGCGGGCAAAGCACACAGCAGCACAACTGGGACTCTTGAGAAGGAAAGAGTGGTTACAAGAGGAGGACAGGGGTCTGGAGCGCCAAAAAGGACGAAAAGGAGAGCCTTTAGCTGCTCTGCTGCTGGAAAAAAGGGTCACAGATGTCTCTATCCAGACAGACGCCCCGCTTTGGAGATAGAAAGTCACATCGCGAAAAAAGAAAAAGCACACGTCTTACTCTTTCTCAGAAGAAAGCATATAATTTGGGGTTTACAAAAGTGGGACACGTATGTCTGAGGTTGAACTTATTCAGGGGTCTCGTCTAACTTCCACGTGGAGGAAACTGGAACTCCTAAGCCGAGGCCTAGACCTTCACTGAGAGGATGTCGTGAACCTGTGAGAAGTGTGAGTGGCTGGGCCCACAAATCCCTACAGCCTGACCATGGCATGTTCCTCAGAAGAGGGTCCCTGCTGCCCTGCTCTGCACATGTGAATGTGCTTCTGGGCGCGCATGCTGGACTGTTCTGTCTTACATCACTGGGATTCGCTGGAACCTGCAGAGTCGTGGTGTCTCCAGGGATGTCCCCCTCGAGTCTCCAGCACAGCCTGGACCACTCAGCATCAGCAAAGATGATTGTCTTGGCCCCAGAACAGCCACCACATTCACGGAACACACCTGCTTGATGTTCATGCTGCTCTCCGAGAGAACCACTGGCATGGCCCGTGTGTGACATGCTTGTGTGACACGCTTGCACACAGCTGTTGACACTGACATGCCCGTGTGTGACAGGCTTGCATACGCTTGCACACGGCTGTTGACACTGACATGCCCGTATGTAACACGCTTGCACACGGCTGTTGACACTGACATGCCCGTGTGTGACAGGCTTGCACACGGCTGTTGACACTGACACTACCTCTCTCTCTCTCTTTTTTTTTTTTAAAGGGCAATCCAGGAAGGGTTTCCCCCTTCTTTTCTTGTTGGGATACTCATTTCTTTTGTTCTTTCTTCAAAATAATAAAATAAATAGAACACTTGTTTTAAAAACTCAGATTTAACAAAATCATATGATTGTCTGATAAATGGGCAGCGGTGACCGCAGGACTCCTCAAGGTAGGGACACAGGGTATTTGGCACATTAACAACTGCCCCACTCCCTGGTTACCGATCACACAGCACACAACCTTATCACACGGTTTTGGTCCTTCACTACATACTTAGATTGACATGATTTCTTCAGAATAAGTTGTCCAATGCCAAAAATACTGTTAAGGAAGAAATAAAATAAGGAAAGAAATGAATTAGAAAAAAATTACAAGTTATATACAGATTAAGGTAAATTCCATTGGAGAAAGAAATTATTTGAAGTTGGCCCCTATGGGAATAACTTAAAGCCCATTCAAGCAGAGAATTAGACAATCATGACCGTCCCAAGGGAGCGAGGCATCTGGTCCCAGGGGCTGTGCTGTCTCTGCTCTGTGCGTGGCAGGTCCCCTGGATCCTCCTCTTGTTCCTGACCACCTCTCACCAGGAACCCACACAAAGAGCAGGAGTGGCGGCTATGCGGTTGATCTGGAGTCTTAGGCACAGGTAGTGCTAGGCGTCCTGGCGTCATGGAGCAGGCGGGTAGGTTCCCCACACTCAGTGGCCATGGGGAGGACATCAGACTGCCAGGGTTGGGAAGAGTAGAAGGCTGAAGGCCTAGATACGGCCCCGAAGCCCCAGCTTCAGAAGAGCGGCAGTCAGGGCCAGCACTGGGGCTGCTGGAGGGGAGAAACCATTAGGTGTCCAGCATGGAAGACCTCAGCCACCAGCTCCCGACCTCCCCATACAATTGGGGGGTCTTGGGTGGGGACCAGTGGATTCCTCTGCAGGCCGCATGGGGCAAGACAACCTCCCTGACTTGGCCTCCACAAGCCTGCAGGCAGGCACCATGACCAAGAATTCCTGTGTAGTCAGCATGCTATTCAGATGGCTCCATGCCCTTTATCCTGCGCCGGGGACACCCAGAATCACCTTGGCTTGTACAAACAGGGTCGGGGATAGAAAATTCTCCATTATCTACATTATAAAGGGCACACCCGAGCAGTGCTCGATGTCCTGGCAGGTGTGGGTTTGCCAATAAGCTGAAATTTCAAAGCAATGCAAAATTACTTTTAAAAAACATTTTGCAAGTCATTTTTGATTTTTTAAAAAATACTGTCTATTTTTTAAAACCCACATGCTTAAATAGACTCTATAGTCAATAAGATTACCAAAAGGGTTATTCATGTAATTTTCATTATAAAAATCATTTGCGAGGTCTCTCCGTAGCACATACCCACTTGTTTCCGTTCCCCTCCTTCATACCATGTGGCTGCCCAGATACGGCCAACTGGCTCCTATGGGGATAGAGATTCCACCCCTGCCCACTAGTTATCCGATAGACAGCTTCCCGTGAGCAGTTCCTGGGCGGCCACCGAGCACTGCACCACTGCAGACCGTGTCCTTGAGGCCAGTTCTGAGAGGTGGTGAAGGTCAACGGATTCTCGAGGGACCTTCAGGTTCTGAGTTTCATTGGAGAAGCTGGACTTGAGCCACGGTGGGTGGGGCTGGAAGCGGAGGTGAGGCAAATTGAAGGTGTCAAGGTGCTTCCCTCGGCCCCTTCTCCATCTCCCACAGCTGGGACCCTGGCTTTGGACTCTGGCCCTGGGGCCTCCAGGACCTCAGAGGTGGTTGATGGGGTTAAAGGCTCCAGACTCTGACGAGGCTCCCGTGATGTTTAACCAAGCATCCAGTGAGCTCTGGGAGGGAACGTGGAGAGGAGTGTCCTCAGAGAGGGACAGCATCATTGCATATGCCTGGTGGGGAAAGGATAGCACACAGAGAACAGGTGAGGGGCATTCCAGACAGGTAGACCTGAGCCTTGCCTGTCTGACCCCCACCTCCACCCCTGCTCCCACCCAGTCTCGAAGGAAAAAGGAAAACAAAGGCACTAGAGAGGCCCACTCTCCAGCTTGGGAGGGAGAGACAGGAGTATATGAAAGCAGGGGGCACCTCTCCTGCCCTGGGTGACACCAGGACACAGGAGCCCCTCTATGGGCCTCCGTGTCCCCTAGGATTCCTTGAACTCTTGGGGTGCTCCCCTAAGATTGCATCTCCACCTCCCTGCAAGCCCGTTTCTCTGCCTAGTGACTGTCAAAAACCTAAGATCAGTGTCTGCTCTGGGAGCATCCTGGGGCTCGGCAGGAGTTATTTTTCATTCCGTGCCAGTGAGATTGTCTTTGCTTAGCTGGCAAGAGCCCTGGGGGACTCTGAATGATTGTGGTGGGCTCCTGTTTGAAGTATGGTAGTGTCTCTGAGCTGATGCAATTATAAGGTAATGGGCTGTGTTTGCTGGCCTCAGACAATCATGGGGGCATCCTTCTGCCTCACATCATGGGACAGGGCAGGAGGTGCCAGGGCTGAGGGCTGTGTGGGGTGTAGATTGTGAGTTACAGGGGTGTACTAGTAAAGCCCAACATGGGTCCCCTCTATCCTTGGGCAAATGCTAGACAGAATTAGTTAAGAGACGAAGACAGACACACAGACAAATAGGGGTGAAATCTTGAGGTGGTGGTCTCTGGCTGCAGAGAGTAGAATGAGAACCAAGCCCTTTTTGATGTCCAAATAATGGGGTGCAGGGTTCCATAACCACTGTCCCTGAGATGTGAACACAGAAAGTGCCCTGGATAAGCCTGTACCCTCAGGTACTCTGTTTTAACTCCATCTTGGAAGCAGTGATCACCTGATGGGTGATAGCCACTCATCCTGGTTCAGAGGGGAGGAGAGCCAGGCAGCTGTTCCCACTGGAGATGGGATGGGGAGATTGAGAAAGCGGCCCTCACGCATGACCCAAGAGCTAGCTCATGGTTATCTGTCTTTGACCGCCCCCCAGCCCACCTGCTCTACCAGGGTCTGGGGGCTTACAGTTATTGTGCTCTCTTTAGACAATGCAGTGGGCATGGGGCTCTGGATCTGATTGTCCTCCAGGCCTGGGATAGCCAGAGCCAGAAGATCTCAGGCATCCTTGGTTAAGGAGGCGTGGTGGCAGTTTACTAAGCCAAGAGGAGGTGGGAGGACGGACGAGGGCTCTGGTGGATACCTACCTGGTTCTTAGCCTGCCTGTACAGGGTTTGTTTTAAAGCCTCAGAATCTAAGGTGGAATTAAGCACATCCTTAACTTCAAATGCTTCCTCAGCTGCTCTGCGGAGATCCAGCCCCTTCCCAAAGGTCGGCGTCGGCTCCAAAGCTAACACACCGCCTCCTCGCTCCTCAACACACCTGCACCAAGGACCGGGGAGAGGGGCCTGGGGTCAGCTCTTTGGCCACTGGTGGCCTCTTTCTAGTGCCTCATGGCTGGTCCCCATGCCTGCATGCATGGCACAGGTTTCCGCGAGCCACATGCACAAGGAGACAGACACGTCGACACACAGACACCCAGATGGGAAGCCACACAGACGTGGGAGAGCAGATGACAGAGAGCAGGAAGGGTGAGTGCGTGCACACACATCACAGGCAGCAGGCAATCTGGTCTTCAGGATAAAGGTAGGAAGGAAGCTTTACTGTTCCGAGGCTCTGGGCAGCTTTGGAGGGGTCCTGGCTGCCCTACCCACCCTCAGGACCAAGAGACTGGGGAAGAAATGCTGGTTCCAGAGGGCCAGCCCAGGGCATCTCAAATGCTGGGAGCATCACCCATTGCTGAAGTAACTGGACAGTTAGGACATGGAGACGTGGCTCTGGCCTGCACAATTTCTAAAACCATGGGTGCTGGGCCACAGCCTAGCAGAGGCTGGACCCTGCTGCCCCAGGTGGATGGGATAATGGACAACTGCACAGCAGAACTGAGGACTCCTGACTCAGGGCCAGCAGAGCATACTCTCCCCTTCCTTTCCCCCGCACCAAGCTTCTGGAAGCCCAAGAGGGAGCGGAGACCCAGTGCCCTGGACTCTGGCTAGCATCACCTCAGCCCTAGCTCCAAAGCCTTGTGGTAGCAGCACCTGCTAGATAGAGGTAAGGCCAGGATGGAGGAGGTGTCTCCTGAATGGTGGCCTTGTATCCAGGTTCTCCCACCCAGCCTGTTCCCTGGCACTTGGCCTCTCCCACCTTCGGGTATGGTCGAAGCCCATGGTTAGGGAGTTGGGCGGTTCCTCATCCTCCTCGTCCTCATAGACTCCTTGGGGCTCAGGTGTGGGGGACACTGTGTCCTCCTGTGACTTTCCGGCTAAGCTGTCATCATCCTCTTCCTCCAGCTCCTCCTCTTCCTCCTCCTCTACGTCCTCCGGCTTTGCACTGGCTGAGCCTGGACACGGGGGGTTGCTGTCCAGGTCTTGAATCTCAGGCCTGAAATGACAGGGGAGGAAGTTGGCTGTGTCCAGGGGCTTTCTCCTTACTGCAGACCGCGAAAGGTGGCTTCCCTTGACCTTCCCAGTCTTTCAGAAAGAGCTGGCATCTGTAGTCACTAAAAGAAGGAGTAACGAGTCTAAAGGCGGTTGCCCACTTCCTCACCGAGGAGTGAGAGTGATGGAGGGGTTAGAAAAATCCAGAAGAGATGGAGGCACCCTGGGGGAGAAAAAAGGGACAGGGCAAGGTCCCTGAAGGGTAGATACCAGGTCATTTGGGGGCCAGTGAGAAATGTGGGTATTAGTAAGGAAGCTAAGACTACGCCTGGAGAGGAGGGTCCTGTACTGGTGCTACACAAAGGGCACCCTTAGGACACTGGTGTAGAAGTTTCCAGATGCCATCCTGTCCAGGATTCTGTGATACCCAACTGTGCATGCAACTCCAAGCCAGGCATGAGGATCTAAGGTCGCAGAACCTGGGGAGCGAGGGTGAGGTTCAGAACATAACTGTCAGGATGGGCTGGCTTCAGGGAATGTTGGTTCTGGCTTACAGTCTAGGCTCTAACTCACAGCCCCCAGGGTCTCTGCAGCCTAGGCAGATCACACACACACACACACACACACACACACACTCACTCACACACACACACATATTGTATGCATGAGTACAATCACATGTGTATACATGGAGGCCATAGGTCAACCACTATCTACGATGAGAGTCTCTTACTGGCCTGGGCTCACCTATTTGGATAGACTGGGTGGCAGGCTGGCCTCAAACTCACAGAGATCTGCCTGCCTCTGCCTACCAAGTGCTGGGATTAAAGGAGTGTGCCACCACTGCCCAACTCTTTTTCTTTTTTTCTAAACATGGATTTTGAGGCTTGAACTCAAGACCCTCCTGCTGACACACCACCTGAGCCATCTCCTTAATCCTTTGGGCAAGAATTTTTTAGAAAGATTCCATCTTTCTGCATGTCTCTGTGTAGATGTGTGCACATGCGTGTAGGTGGCCAAGGATGACAAAAGAGGAACTGGAGTTACAGGTGATTGTGAGCTGCTTGGTGTGGGTGCTGGTGTTGGTGCAAGGAAGTAAACTCCAGTGCTCTTGGTGAGCCCTCTATCCAGGTCCCAGGCAAGACTTTGGAGCTCTGGTTCCTCATAAGCGAGGGTGAGCAGATCCATCTCCTTCAAAGAGCATCACCAGTCTTGCTCATGCTCACGTCAATGACCATACTCTGTGCCCAGGGAATGTGGCCATGTGGGCAGGGACACAGCAAAAGACAAACAAGTCTTGGGTTCCATATCGAGAGCCCTCAGCTCTTCCTCTCTCCATTCCCACACAGTTCTGGGGGGGGGGGGCGCTGACTGAGGCAGTTATCATGGTCTTGGGGAAGAGAGGCGTTCAGTTATTTTCAATGAAGACGGCATCTTAGCGGGGTCAACTTGTAAAGTGGTGTCCAGGCCAAGGTTGTATAGGTGACTGAGCTGCTCTGCAGACTCCACCCAGGTCACCAATGTCTTCCCACGGGAGAAACACTGCCTCTGACCTGCCCTCCAGAATAGGCAGAAGAGTCTTGACAGGCTTCAAGGTGCCAAATGTCCCTGGCTTCTAGTCACTTTTGTTGGGGACCAGTCAAGAATATGTTGCTACAGCAAGGTACCCCACTTCCACGAGCCTTTGGTACCCCACTTCTATGGGCCTCTGGTACCCCACTTCCACGGGACTCTGGTACCCCATTTCCACAGGCCTCTGGTCCCCACTTCCACAGGACTCTGGTTCTCCTCTTCAGAACTGGAGATCCCATGCCGAGGTTTTTTTGGGGTGTACAGAACTTCTGTTTCTCAGTGACTTCTCTGATCTCTTTGTTTTCCTGGGGTACAGAGGTGTTCATGCAGAAGGGAAAGTTCCCAAGTAAAGGACACACTGCAGCCTGAATGTTGAGGTTTCAAAGAACACCTCCAGAGCCTGGATGAATCCTGAATTTCTGTGTGTTTATGTGCAAGTTTATATCTGAGTGCATATATCCATATCCATACACACGCAGACATATTTACCATATGTGGATGCACACACACACACACACACACACACATACACACACAGAACCAGACACACATGTGCTCCTATTTGCACACGTCCGTGTGTGTGTGTGTACATCCACATGTGGTAAATATGTCTGTGTGTGTATGTGTGTGTATACAAATCATCTCTGACTTACAAAGGTTTCTAATTTTACAGTAGTGTGAAGATGACATGAAGGACCCACACTTTGAAGTTTGACCTTCCCCATGCTATGCTGTGCACAGCTACAGTATGCCCAGGAGACGTTGGACAGGGCTCCCATGCAGCCCGAGGAGAGAGGGAAGCAGCCAGCACACTGTGCCATCAGTGTTTTTAGACGTGGGTGAGTTTTTGGTCAGACACATGAGTTGTTTGTGTCTTTATTACAGACTAGGCTCCATGCTAGGTGGTCTGTGTAGCAGCCTACAGTGTGTTTTCTAAGTGTCATGGAGCAGGGTGCAGGGGACGGGCTTGTTGAGCTGTGTTTGGTGGTTTAGGCCTGTTGAATGCATCACTGAATGACAATCTTTTTACTTTATGAGGTTATCACACAGCCTCACTGAAAGTTGAGCTCTCTCTCTCTCTCTCTCTCTCTCTCTCTCTCTCTCTCTCTCTTCCTCTCTGTCTCTCTGCCTCTCTCTTCATATGCGTGTTTTCAGGGGGAAGCATTTCTGTCTGGCAATAACACGATGGGGTTGCCACTTGGCCTGTGTGCTGGCCTCTCACTGAGAGTAAACATCCATGATCTCACAGGGTGTTCTCTGCCCTCATCCTCTCTTAGTGAGATGCTGTGGCAGGAACACACACAGGGACTGGGGAGCTCTTCTTGTTTCCTCCACATGGGGCCTAGCACCTTCCAGGGGGTAGGGATACATGCACCCTAAGCAAGACCATCGGAGCAGGTGAGTCTAGACCCGCTGGCTTGCTTTTCTTACCGTTTGTCCATCCGAGTAGAGGCCTGGTTCATCTCACTGTTGGCGATGAAGTTTCGGATCTCGGAGAAGTAGGAATCTTCCTTCTCATCTAAAAGTGCATGGTTGTCCGACTCGGAGGTGGGGGAGGAGGCGCTGGTGCCCAGGTGGTTGGTGAGAACCCCAGAGTGCTGGCTCACTGTGGAAGGGATGAGTGTCAGGGGCATTCTGGGTACATCCAGTCTCCCGTGCCAGTGTGCGCTTGGGGTGCTCTCAGGAAACTGTCTCTTAGAGAGTCTGAGGGGTGGAGTTGCCCACAGCCCCCTCCCTGCCAGCCCTCTTGCTTTGCCCATCCTCCACAAACCTGGTGCACCTTCATGCTCGTGTTTCTTCAGATGCCGGTCCAGGTTGGTCTGCTGCCCAAAGCAGCGGTTGCACAGGTGGCATTTGAACGGCTTCTCTTTGTTGTGGATGTTCCTTACATGCCGCTGGAGGTTGGAGGAGATGCTGAACGACCGGTCACAGTACTTGCACCTGGAAAACAGGTGCACCTTGCCTCAGAGGAGAGATCACGTGTGGCAGGACAGGGCCAGACCTCTGTCTCTACGGCAGTTGTAGCCATTGTGGTGCTCCTGAGGTCACCTGACTACCCAGCTGGAGAGTTCAGATGGATCCTAGGGTCGCTGCTCTAGAGACATCTATGCTCTGTTTAAATTGCCCCAGCTAGTGGAAGGAGTAAGAAGCCAAGGGACACAGTGTGAGATGACATTCTCCAGTCAGCCTCAAGAGGGCAGCCTTGAAACATGGAAAGAGGCGAAACAGGCTGGCAGGTTACCCTGAGATGGGAAGGCTCTCTTTTCCATCACAGGATGGCCTGGCTCTGGCTCCTCTGACAGAAGACCTTAGATGAGCCCCATCTCACTTAGGGACTCATTGTGACTCTCTAATGCTCTCAGTAGCCCTGAAGGTTAGATGGGACTTTTGGCCTTGTGGCTTTGATGCTGAGGCCAGCTGGTAGCCATACTGAGCCCTTCAAGGCACCACCAGCTCCTGCGGGCTCAGATTATTGTCACGCCCCCACTAGGTTTACCAAGCACTCAAACTGGAAAAGCAATGCTAGCAGCTAGCACACATTTTATCAAAAATCATGATGCAGTTAGCGGCCATCGGCAGTGAGGGATGTCCGCTGTGCATGTAACTCCAGGTGTGGCCTCGGTGGCCCTAACAGCTGAGAACAGAGGCCTGTTCTCCCCCAGTTTTATAACAGGCCCAAGCAATGCCCACAACAAAGAAGCCAAGCCCAGAACAAAGAGTGGCAAGTGATGTAAGAAGAAGCCTTCCAAGTTCTGCAGAACACGTGAGCGGCCTCGGAAAGGAGCAATGTCTGAGCTGTGGGGTGGCTGACAGCTTCTTCCCGAGGGCCTGTCTACATGGGTAGACCCTACAGCAGCAATCCCGATGCCATGCTTTTTATTGCATATATGTGCATGCATGCAATATGTGTGTGTGCACACACATGTGCAGGTGCATGTGTGTCTCAGGTATATGTGGAAATACCTGTGAAACTGGCCATCACAATGATCTTAGAGGCACACAGCACTTGAAAACTATGTTTCTGTGACTATATATGTTCATATTTTGGAAATGAGTCCTGTTAGGTGACAGTGAAATACCCAAGATCTCCAGGGCCGGCACCATGAGACAGGCCGCCCTCTTTTGTGGAGCCAGAACCTATGATGTCAGCCTCAGTGAGGACAAAGATGGGGGGCTTTTCTTTACCCACAGGGATGTGTGACAGTTCTAAATACAGCAGCCTTGCATTCCTACGGGCCCCGCCGTCACTGCGATTTGGGGCTGGTGGCCTGCTCTGGAGTAGCACTCTGGTCACGAGCCTTTGTCATGTGGTTGAGGACATGCCCGAGGACACCAGGGACACAGCCAGGAGGGGCTGTATCAGCAGCTGCTTTTATAGCCTTATGCTGTCCACTAGAGGAGAGGCCAGGCCCAGAGACGAAGATTGGAGTTCTGGGTGGGTTGTGTGGGCCCCTGCCCAGGGTGTCTGACGGGCCTGACCATGTGCTATGACAGGGTGTGTCTGCCTGTGTTTCTGTCTCTGCTGAGTTCAGAACCCGTAAGAGTTGCAGTTATTAACTTTGCCCTTGGACTCTCAGGGCCTGCAAGTCCTCTGGTCCCTGGCTGCCAGATAAAACCTAGGAAGGTGAAGGCCCTAGAGAAGGGGAGGCTGCTCTGAGAGGGGCCCCTCTTCTTGCCCAGGCTCTTCCTGGCCACAACTGACACCCCCAACCTTGAGTTCCTTGTACTGCTCTTCACAGCTCACTGATTCAGTACCTGCAGCCTCCAGTTGCCCCGAGCCCAGGCTCCCCGGCTCCTTTTATACTTTTAGCTGCCTCGCCAGGCTCTTCAAGAGCCAGCAGCTTCCTCTGAAGCCCAGGTTAGGACCTCTCCTATCTTTGGTTGCCCTGAGCAGCCTCTAGGGCACGTGGGTGTCCTTGGGCGCAGCATTTCTTCCCACAGCCTGGGAAGCAGCCTGACTCGCGAGACTACCTGCAAAGTATGCCCTGGAGGTATCTCTGCGGTTTTCTTAGCCTAGCAATAACAGACATCAGTCCTCCAGGCTCTGCAGCCTCCAACAGAGGCAACAGTCCAGAAGGAATTTCACCTCTCACCCGCGCTCCCCCCCACACCCTGAAACACATAGACACCTCGATGGAGCCAGGCCCAGGTCTTCCTGCTCTTTGGGGGTGATCTCTCAGGAAAGGAAACTTGATTTGCATCTGCAGAGTAAAGCCAAAGCCAAGCTGCCCATGGGACTGGGAATTCACTCCACCAGGAAGAGAGTTCTCTGCAGATGAGGTAGGTCAGCCAGGCAGCCCCTGTCTGCTTGTCTGTCTGAAGCATATCACAAAGTTCATTTTTTTTTTGGTTCCTCAGGAAATGCAGAGACTCTTTGACAGGTCCCCTCGCATACCACCCACCCCCCAGCTCTGGCATAGACTCCTAAGCATGGGAATGCTGGGGATGTACTGAGACAGAGAGGGGATGTCAGGGGAGGGAGGCTCGAGGGTAGAGGCTCTGGGGCTGGGATGGGCTGTGTGTTCTGTCTGCTTGCAGTGCTCTGGATGTAGCCTCTCCTTGTTCTAATCTAAATAAATGGCCCAGGCTGAGACGTCCACTTGAAATTTAGGGGAGCAGAGAGCCCAGGGCCGTGAGGGAGCAGAGTTCACCCAGCAGCTGGGCTCTGCACTGTGAATAAGCTGACAGACGACTCGGGAAATTTACAGCCGTGCTGCATAAAGCAACACACCATTGTGCTCACAGAAATGAGAGGGCACAGGCGGCCCAGCGCAGAGCTCTGGGAGGACCTTGCTGTGACCATGCCTGTGGCCCTGTGGCAGTTCTAGGGAAGCGGGGATGCACAAGGCAGGAGAGGGTAAAGCCACGCCTCTCGGCCTCCAGGCACCAGCGTCTTCCTTGAGACACAGGAGGGCTACTGCCAGCCATCACTGCTTCATCACTTTAAAAGTGAGGCCAGAAAAGGAAAGAAGAGATAAAAAAAATGTTCTAAGAATAAAAATAAATAAAGAAGAGGGCTTGCAGGACCCACCTGCAGCCCCGCCGGACACTGCCGGCTTTCCTAACATAGGACACGGAACAGGAGCTGGGAAGGAAATGAAGGCAATACAGCTGCACACTGGGAGGTGTGCATCCCCGAAGCGGGAGTCACAGGCCTGACCAGGAGTTCCAGGTTGGTCCAGGAAGGTCTATGTCCATGTACGTTGCAGGCTACGCCCAGCAGCCAGAGAGCCTCTACATCGAAGTTGGAAGGAGGTATACTGGGGTACAGCCCTTTTCTCCTCAGCTTTTCCATTTTAAAGATTTTAATTAAAAAGTTATCCATGTGTGGGTGCATATGTGTATACACATTCATGTGTATGTGTGTGCATGCACGCATATATGCATATGAGTGCACATATGTGTGGAGGCTATAGGTTGACACCGGGTGTCTTCTATTCTTTTTTTTTAACCGTATTTCTTGAGGGTCTCTCATTGAACCTGGACTTCACTAGACTGGCTGGCCAGAAAATTCCAGGGACCATCCTGTCTCTGCCCAGGTAGCAGTGAGGCTAAGGGACACACTGCCATGCTCAGCTTCTATGTGGGTGCTGTTCTCATGCTTGCAAGAGCATCTCTCTCCTGCTCCGGTAGATCAGATCTTTCCACCTCTGCAACCCAAGTTCCATAAAGTCTACATGCTGGAGTTTCAGGACGTGAGAGTGTCATTAAGTATGTGTTCTCCAACTTCAGGCAAAGATTTCAAAGCCAGGAGAAGCTGTGTGCTAAGGTCTGCTTCCTGGCTGGAGTATGTGGGAAAGTTGTCCCTGGGGAAAGCAGAGGCCACCCCGTGGCAGGACACAGAGACATGTGTGAAATGGGTGTATTTCCGAGGACTTCCTCATCAGCCAAGGCAACCTTCTTCATCTTCTCCGGGAGATCCCAGACTCTGAAGGGTGACTACACCCACATGTGAACACACAGTGACCACGCACACATGAGCTGACAGTGAGGTGGGCGTCACCCGTGGGTCAAGCGCCCTTACCAGGCCTTTGCCTTGTGCAGTGGACTTCTAGGATGGGCTATGCTCTCTCCAGTCACAAGTTAAAACTCTCTCTAGTTTTCAGAGCAAGACCAAGGTCCCCAGCTGTATGAAGAGGCAAGCTGCACGCTTTAAACCCCTCGGCGAAGGCCTGCCTCGAGCCAGATAAAGTCAGGATTTGCAACACAAACTTGCAAAGCAATTATTGTTACCAAAGTCGAAACGCTCAGATTGGAGAGAGCAAAAGAAATCAATGATAATTAAATTCTTCTATAAACACGGCCCCTACCCTCTAGGGGCTCTTAGCACGACACACTGTCCGGGAGTCGGCTCTCATTACAGAAAAAACACGGGGCTCGTTTTCTGGGCGAGGACCAGACCAAATAAATCTTTCTGTTGCTCGCCTTTGTTAAGTTGTAAGTCACTATTTTCAGAGAGCAGACGGGGGCGGGGGGAGGGGGGAGGGTACGTGTTGGGGAGGGCTGGGAGGCACGGGACACAGAACTAGAAAGAGCTGTCATTCACTCCGGTAGCACAGATGTGGGCCTGTGGCCACCAGGGATGCTCTGTAACCCCGAGTGGGGCTTGGGGATCACAACACATGTGCCCACGTGGGATGCCTGCCCAGGGAAGAACACACAGACCGAGTCCCCACAGCTACTCCCTGGTGACAAGCACTGCACAGGCACAGCACAGGCACAGCACAGGAGTCTAATGTCATCGGTCTAAAACCAACCTAGACTCTTTCTTTCCCAAAGCCTCGGCTGGATAGACACACCCCACACGTGTTGCTAAACTGGTCCTGGCAGAGAAGTGGCCGTTTCCCTGTTTGTCTCAGGGTGACAATTGCCTGAGTTCTGTTTAAAAAGGCCTACTCCCTGGCTGGGAGCGCGGGGCAAGGAACTGTGGCATCCTCAGCCCTTCTTGGCGCAAAACAAAGGCTCAAGGGCACAAAGGACAGGCACCTGGGGCTGGAAGAGCTGGCAAAAGTTGCCTTCGGTTCCACCCCTTGGAGAATCTCAGGACGTCTCTAAGCGGACACTCCTCAGCTCTGAAGCAGGGATAGTAAGATCCACCGGGAGGCGGCTCTGTTACTCAGCGACTCTCAGATTCCTGAGATACAGAGTGGTCCACTCTCTACTTCAGCAACACCCGCGTGGCTTCCCACTCAGGGCTGCTGCGGGGAATCAGGGGCACCCCATTTTTGTTAAGAGATCATACTTGGGGAGGAGGTGGCTATGGTGGTTATGTCAAGGACAGGATTGGATGGGGCTGGCTGGCTAAGGGTCCCCCAGGGACCTGTGGAGAATCCAGCTTCAAGTCACATCTCTCTCTGATTCTGATTGTCTGCCTTGGTTGACACTTTAGCTACAGGAGGAGAAAGGTTCTTTTACACCTTCTTTTGGGAGCATGGAAAGAGCCTTCTAGAAATTTCCTGGGCACTCCCTGCCTCATCCTTATACTATTCTAGGGAGCTAGAGGGTGGTGGGCCAGGAGACTGGGGCAGACACACTGAGCACTGTGGTTTCTGTGCCACTGACCCTCTGGTGACCACAGCCCCGTGGGTGTATCTGAGTGTAGGTGTTTGCTCGGAGGCAGGGAACGAAGGATGCATGGAAGCAAACAGGGAGCCCCCCCATACTAACACTGGGCAGCTCCTACCTGTATGGCTGCTCCCCAGTATGTGTCCTCAGATGTCTTGTGAGGTTCGCAGATCTGGGGAAGATCTTGCCACAGTACCTGGGGCAGAGGGAAGAGAGTTGGGAGAGGCATTAGGGTGGTCCACACTACCCTTTTCCAGATTTCTCCTCATGCAGAGCCCAACTCAGAGGCCTCATGGCTGGTGGTAGGAACTGCCATGCCAGAATCCTAGTTAGTCCAGACATCTCAACAAAGCACAAAGCAGAGGGACAGGCATCACTTCTTTAGTCTAGGGGCTGTAGCGGCTGGGATCAGTAAAGGAGCCTTGGGAGCATGTCTTCCCAACACCATGGCCAACGGCAGAAACTGCAGGCCTGGGCTCACCATCCTTCCTAGTGCTCTGGTGAATGCCGACCAGCCGTGCTCCTCTAGCCTCTGAGCTCAGCCAGGTGAGGCTCAGATGGTCCGGCACAGCGGATGGTTTTAGAAGCTCTACCCATGTTTCTCATGTGTAGCAGGTGACATGGAACCGACAGAGGGCCAATACCCTCACGGAGCTTCCCTGTGACCCCAAGGGGCACGCCGAGCCTCACCTGCACGTGTATCTCTCCTTGCCCTTCCTGAGGATGGGATCCGAGAGCGTCGGGGGTGGGGACCGGAAGTTGAAGGGGTGGTGAGGCAGGGGCTGCAGGGAGCTGCCTGAGTCGGCCTTCATGGCTGCAAAGCTCTCCAGCTTCTCTGTCATGGTTTCTATGGCTGACATCTGCAGGCACGGAGAAGGCAGAGATCACGGACTCAGCCTAGCTGTCGTCTGTCTTCAGAGAGTGGACACCTGGAGTCCCTGTGTCTAATATCATTCACCCTCAGGTGGTCACTGGAGGCAGAGCCACAGCTTGCTCTGTCCTTGTCCTTTTTAGAACTGGAGCTATGGTCCTTTCAACCTGGTAGGCAGAGTTTGATTGAACTCCAGGCTATGCAGGCTCCACTGAGACGGAAGGCTTTGGTGTTGGGGGCACTGATCACAAGGCTGCGCCTCTCTGTCCATCCCATGGAAACCATGGGAGGATAAGGCAAGGGCCAATCCAATAGAGGAGTTAAAGAAACTCATGGAACAATTTCGTAGGACCCATCACGAGTTGAAATAGGTGTCCTAGTCTATATGCCTCTGCTAAACATTTAGCCCAGAGGCCAGTTTCTTCTTGCAGACCACAGAAACAGGGCTGGTGAGAGTAGGCAAAGGAAGACAGGGGTGGGGCAGGTGTGGATGGGGATGTAGAGGGAAAAGGTGCAGGCTCTCCAAGAGCTGGGAATGCTGGCAGAGACTAGACCTCACCAATGGAGCATGGGTGAACAAGAAGAGAAGGTGTGACTGCCTCACCAGGCTCCTCACTCGTGGCCAGATGCCTCTGCTGAGTGCTAGGCCCCTGCACAAGCTGTCCAGTGATGCCAGAATCTGGGACCCAGCTGCCCGTGAGTGAGCAAAGGCAGAATGCCACAGGGCTGTGATCCTTCTGCAAGGCTTCAGTCAGTCAGCCCTTCAGCTCCTTGTTGGAGTGCCCAAAAGCATTCTCATGGGCTCTGTTTGCTGGGCACTGCCAACAGGGAACGGAGGGCTTTGTACTACTGCTACTTGGAAGCCTCATAATGCAGAGGCATTTGGTATCTGGGGAAACGATGGCAGGGCTGTAACAGAAACCCATCGAAGGCAGTTGAGTGGACACTATGTCCAGCTACAATGGTGAGTAGTCATTGGACAGCTCTGCAGAGGCTATAGAGATTTAGTGCTTTGGCCTGTTGAGATGGGACCACTCACACTACACTCAATCTTTGCAACTCATGCTCACTGGTGGGCAGCACCCTAAACAGCTTCACATCTGCTTGTCAAGTCTCAGATCCAGAAGGGCTTGGGGATGATGGGGCTGGGCACTGGAAGGGACAGGTTATTTAAGGTCCCTGCACAGTCATAATGCCTGTCTCGTGGAAGCCTTCTTTCCACGGTTACCAGGTTCTTTCTGTCTAAGTGACAGACAGTCTATCAGACTGTTTAACTGGTGACCATAAGTCATCTCTTTTCTGCCTCCTTATCCTGGCTCTAGGCCACAAGGGCAGGCAGAGAAGGTAGGCCCATGGGAGAAGTGGGCAGAAGGGACAATGGGCAGCCGGCCCCCCGCAGGCCTCTCTTCCTCAAGTCGGGTGGGTCCTGCTTGCCTGGCCCGCTCTGCCCCATCAGACATTCCCGTGAGCTCCGAGCGCAAACACAAACACCGGACGCGCCTGGCTGGCTTCTCGACTTTTTCCAGTCGGCCCTGGGAAAATTGGGGGAAGCTATTAACCAAACTCTGAGGCCCGATGGAACAATGGGAGCTCTAAGTTTAGCTGTGAACTCAGCCAGTGTGCAGGTTTCACAGACTGGGGCTTACCCAAGGCGGGAAGCTCGGGGCAGAACAATGCTCTAAGCAGGGTTAAGATTCGCTGGTGGCGAGGGAGGCATAAGGGCTAAGTCCTGCAGCCCATAGGAGGGGCCAGACCTCTTGGGATGACGACAGGACAGGACACTTGGAGGACTTTCCCTTGGACTTTGCCCTTGGGAGGTGGGGGAGCATGTGGCCCGGGGGCACAGGTAGGGACATTTGTAGGCTGGAGGGGTCTATGCTCCACTCCCTGAATGCAGGGCATTAAAAGGTTCCATGGGGCTGCTTGTGAATGTCTGGCTTCCTCTCTGTTCCCTCTGCTCCTCTCCCTTCTGCTCAGTCTGGCCCCTGCCTCTTTCCTTTATCTGGTCCTTGCATTGAAGCAGGCTAACGTATCACCCAGCTCAGGAATACCAGCCCCAGGGTTTCCTTATGGCTGACACTGTGGTCCTTTTGGCATCACGAATCAGTTACATTCCTAGGGCCTGGGGTTCTCCCAAGCATAGGGCTCCAAGCATGGGCAAGAGGCCCCTAGACAAACCCCAGAGGGCTTTTCTATAAGAACAGCCCCTCCCCTGTGTTCTCCATCTCCACAGTGATCTCAAGAAAGGCTCCTCTACTTCCGGGGAACCAGAAACCCCCCAGGTCCAGAGCTTGTTCTTGTGGGGTCTAAGGACACCCATCTCAGATGCCCACTGTGGTTGTTACCTGGGGGTGGAACAGTAGTGGGGACGGCCGCAGGTACTTTTCTTTCAGGACTCCCACAGGGTCCGTCACCTTCCGCTTTTCTACCCTGCTGGACAGCAACACAGAGGGTTACATACCCCACCCCACCGAGCCACTTGGTCCTCCATAACATGCCTGTGCCGCGTTGATCATGAGGTTGCTGTGGAGGTGGCCACAGGGCTGCCCAGCTGGCCCCTACATGAATTTCAATGGGCCTTGAGGGCAGTGTGGACAAGGCACAGCTGCCCACTGCACAGACACCCCCAGCTCCCCAGTTGTTCTAGGACCCACCCACTCCCATCTTCTCTGAGCTCTCCTGAATCCTCTCCGACTGTTTACAGAACATTTTGTGCTGCAGTATAGACGTTCTCTGAAGGCTCCACCTGCACCAGCCTCCTGTCCACTGGCTGGTCATACCTGAGTGGTGGGGCTGCCCTCGGGGTCTCCTGCACACCCACAAGTCACTCCGCATTGCAAAGGCTGCACTCCTATCTCAGGCATTGTTGGTGTAGAAATCCCTGAGGTGTTTTGTCTAAACCCGCTGACCCTCTTGCCCCCCAAAGACACCAGCACGAGCTATCCTAAGTTGCTCTCTTGCATCCCACCTGAGGCCTGGCCTGGCCTCACTTTACCCCTTCTATCAGCTGGAGCCTTTGCTTCCCTGCCCTCCAGGGAAGAGCAGCAGGAGAGGTGGGCACCGCAGCTGTAGGTCCCCAGAGGAGACAGCGAGGAAATCAAGAACTAGGGTGGCCATAGGAAGGGCTTTGGGACAGGGTAGAAATAAATACCAAGACACTTGGCAAGAGCTGTCAGCCTGGGGCTTCACTCTGGTAATTAAGGCCTGCCTGCTGTGGGGAGGGGTCTCTCACGGCAGACACTCAGCCTTTCAGTCATCTCGGGATGGTGATGCTGGCAGAGAAAGGAGGGCCTTGATGACAAGCCTAGTGTTGTGGCGGCAGCGGGGCAGCTCAGGACCCTCCTTACGGTCTGGCTGCAGGACTCTGTCCTAGTCTCCTGTGCCTGCACAGTGGAAAAACATTGCTGTTGCTTCCCCCGAGCTCATCCTTCTGCAGAGGCTCCTGTCCCACTGGTGGCCACAATCTTAGGTCCAAAGGACCAGCACTTAGCCTAGATTCCTGACATTACGAGTAGAGACCACATGAGGATATAAAGGGAGACTCTGGGCTCCTGTGGTCAGTTCCCATGATTCTCTTCTCTCAGGCTGACCATGGATTCCTTACAGCTTACAGAAAATGTGTGAGGTCTGATCAGTTTGGTAGACGGGTCGGGCAGGGGGCAGTAGGAAAGGCCGAGAAGGGGTTCACACAAAGTTCCCCCAGCCGTGGGGTCTAGCCAGGGGCTCTGTTTGTCTCTAAGTACCTGTTATGTTCTGCGTGAGCCCATGGGGCAGTTGGTGCCTTTTGCTTCCTGCCTTAGTAAAGTTCTGACTAGTACTTCCTCCTCTCTTTCCTCTCTGGAGCCTCAGCACTTCCTCATGCGAGCTGTGGGAGGCACATTTTCTAAGAAATACCTGATGGATATCTTTCTTGTTTCCTGGGATTATGAAGCCAGGATCTGCCAGAAAACAGAAGCATGGCCGGGCGGGGAAGGTGCAGCCGGGGGCCTGGTAGATAGATACCTGTAGCCCTAGGTGGCCATGTCCTCTGGGTAGCAGCTGTTCAGTGTGCTTCCCTTGGGATTTTCCCACAGCTTTATCACCTGCTTGCCTCTCTTAGAGTTTTGGGTCCATCCCCAGTCCTCACGCCATGGCCAGCCCCGAGGAGACAACAGGCACACAGGCCTGTTCCCTGAATATCTCTTGATGTGTGCTCACACATGTGCACAGACATGCCTGACAAAGCAGGGTCAATGTCAAATGTATGACCCCCTTCCTAGGATCACCCACTTCTTACTCCCTGTGACTCCCTCACCCAGCAGAGTCGGTGACATGCTGGCAGGGTTAGGGCTCCAAACATGGGGCCTGGCCCTCCTCTGCAAGCCCACCTTCTTCGGGAAGCTCAATGCCTTTTCATAAGTCAGGGAGTAGATTCAAACTTGCCCTTCATTGGAACCAGTATCAGACAGGCAAGAATTCTGCCCTACTAGGACCAGCAACCCAGAGGCCCCCCTAGTATGGCTCTAGGGCAGTATGGGGCCACAGGGTAGTCTCAGGAGAGCGAAGCTGCAGAGAGACGAAGCAAGTTCTCAGAGGTAGAGTAGGGTGTGCTGACCCTCAGGAGAAGTGGAGGTTAGTTTCCGGAAAGACAGCTGATGGGAGATGGGTCTAATGGAGAGGCTCAAGGTAGAAGATGCTACCCCTGAGGGAATATTGGAACACTCGTGGACTGAAGCTCCTCCCTGATGCCAACGAATGCACGAATTAGGAGGCTGAGAGAGAAAGGGTGATAAACAGAGTCCCCACCAAATAACTCCATGGATGTGGGCCCCTGGGGAGAGAGAGTGAGGGCAGGCCATGTTAATACCTGTAGATGGGATCCATGAAGAAGGGCGAGGGCTTGGCATAGTGCAGGGACGGCTGCTGGGGCAGCTGTGCTGGGCAGACCTTAGCCAGCCCCTCGCCAATCCCTGGCTTCCGTTCACCGTAGACGTGGTTCTTCCGCGGTTCACGGCTGCCTCCGTTCTGGCTCGCCCGGGCCCTGCTGCCGATGCTCAAGTCTAACGGCTGCTCCTCACTGGATGAGGGGACCAGGGGGACCTTAGGTGTGAGCAGGGCAGGCTTGGCCTCTTTTGGTTTGGTGGTGAGGTCAAAGGGGCACTCCGCACTGGGGCCGCCCACCTTGAGGGCATCCCGGGGTGACTTTGGCTCAGCCTTGACCAGCAAGTTATGGGCGAGGGCTCGGTCCGTGAAGGGGTAGAGAGAGTGGGGGAAGTTGGGCAGAAACTGGAAGGGGAACACAGAGTGGTAGGGCAGCGAGCCTAGTTTCTTCTCCTGCATGCTCATGAAGCCAGGCCCGAAGTACTTCTCAGCGATGGATGCTATGGCCTTGATAGAGTCACCTGCGGCTCCCGAGGCCGTCAGCAGTTGCTCCTCGGGTGGCGGGAAGAAGGAGTGTTGGGAGTAGAAGGCCGGCACCTCGGCCACACTGTTCATGGCCCCAGGGGGCACTGATCCACCCCCAAACTCAGGTTTGCTTTCAGATGACTTGGCCTTGGCCTTGTCTTCTCGGCCACTGTCCACGTCACTGTCCAGGTCTGAGCCCGTGCCCGTGGTGGTGTCCAGGTCTGTCCCCGTCGTGGTGTTGATGTCCTCAAAGTCGCTGCCATCTGACATGTCAGGGCTCCTGGCTTTGACCTTCTCGACGTACGCATCTTCCAACCGGCCGTCGAATTTCTCCTCTGGCCCCGTGGCCGCCGTGGCACCTTGGCTGCTGTTGCTGACCGCAGAGACAAGAGGCAGGGCTGGGTTTCCCAGCGGGCTGGGGAGCTTGGCGTCCTGCGCGTGGTTCAGGGGGCTCTTGAGCAGTGGCGTGGGAGGTAGCAGAGGCGGTCGTGGGTACAAGGATGGAGGAAAGATACCTGGGAATCCCGGAGTGAGCGTGGGGAAGGCTGGAGGGGCCGCTGAGAAGGGTAGGCTCCCAGGATGAGGTCTGGAGGGGAAGTACTCACTGAAGCCTAGCCCCCCATGGTTGAGGGTGGGGGAGGGTTTTGTCTTGTCCATCATGGGGCTGGGGGTCAAGGGCAGGCCTGGGGTGAAGATGCTGCCCGGCGTGTAATGGTTCTTGCCCTCACAGAAGCGCCGGTGCTTGTTGAGGGAGGAGGTGGTGCTGAACATTTGCCCACAGTCCTTGCACTTGATCTGAGTTCGGCAGTCAGCGTGCATCCGCTTGTGCCGGCACAGGTTGGAGAACTGCGTGTAGGACTTGTGGCAGACCTCACCTGAAATACCCACGGGAGGCAAGTAGAGATGCAGTGTGAGATCCCCGTGACTCCCAGGTACAGACGCAGGCTGGGGGCTGGCAAAGATCACCGTGCCTTTTCCCTGGGGTCCTGGCCTGGGGGACCATGGTGTCTTAGCTGTCTGTGGTGGGAAGCAGGGCAGGCTGGGGGCTGGCAAAGATCACCACACCTTTTCCCTGGGGTCCTGGCCCCGGGGGACCGTGGTGTCTTAGCTTTCTGTGGTAGGAAGGGTGGCATGTTTATTGATGGCTGATTCTCACCCTGAAGTATAGCTAATTCCTACACTGTGATCTTTGGAAGTCACTGGGAAGACCGTCTGTGGTCCAGGTTTGTGTGAGGGACAGGTTTGTGCAAGGACACACAACACCTAGTTTCATTGGACTAGGAGGTGGCTAGCTCAGAACATCATCGTGACCTGCCTCAAGGCGGTGACCTTGGTTGGCTGTTTCTACAAGGGAGCAGCCCCCTCTTCCTAGTCTAAAATGCCACTTTCTTTCTGTCCCCATCTCTGTTCCAGTTCTTGCCACCAGCATCTCAGGAAGGGATGCCCCAGCAGTTCTCAGGAGTCCTAGAGTTAGGGTCTGTGTTGGGGAGCAGGGCTTGTCCAGTTTTGGGGTTAGCCAAAAATGGGGTGAAGCTTTGTCTATGACCTTCAGGGGAAGGGCTGGGGCCCATGCTTTCAAACTTGGAAAGCCTCCTAGTAAGGGTCTCTCAGTTTGGGGGTCCAGCAGGGTCTGCTCTAGCTGACAGACACCATCAGGTCTCTTACAGGATAGGGTAACACCAGCAGGACCTCAGTCTAGTCTAGAGGCTCAGAAGACCACAGAGCTACCTTCCTGAAGCCTGGGAACTGGAACATTCACCAATCTTTCTCCTTTTCTACCATAAAGAAGGTATATGTGTGTATGGTGCACATTCTTCCACACACTCTTGCCTCCCACTGACAGGGACACGCACATGCACACATGCACACGCATACGCACACACAGTGTGTATGTTGCACATCCCTCCACACACTCAAACCCTTATAATCCTCTCTCTCCTCCCACTGTCAGGGACACGCACACACATGCACACACACACGCGCGCACATGCACACGTACACACACACCCTGTGACTCTCCCCACAGGACAGTCTGCTTTCTGCAGCATGGTGGAAACAGTGATTGTAGGCCTGTCTCTTGCTTTCTTTCTCCAAATCCCGAGTTGCCACTTTAGCTGAGACGTCTTTTCTCTGATACTATCACATACTTTAATCACAATATCTATTTATATTAGCTGCCCCGCCTTCTTGGTCATCATGGCAGGACATTTTTCTGGCTGAAAGGAGTCAAACTTTGGTTCATTTAATCAAATCTTCCCTTTTTGGGATACTGTTCTGGGAGAAGTACCACATTTAGATGGTCTATAAATAGCCTCACCTCATTCCTGGTCTCCCAGAGGGAACCACAAGGCAGATCCCAAGCTCAGGTTACCTGGACAGACTAGACAATCAGCACCCTTGCTATGTTCCTGGGTCCCCAAAGATCCTGGTGATACCTACATATAACCTCCTGCCATTACTCAGGGCTCTCCTGGGACAGAGGGACCCTTGGTTCCTACCTATTACTACAACCGGGAAAGAGGACTCTGTGGTAGATGGGTTATAGATACCTGGGCAGTCCTAGGAAGGGCAGGTCCCAGACATTGAGAATGGCTGCCAGGCAGCCAGAGCCACCCAAAGAAGGTGGCAGCTTCTGGAATGGGGAGAGTGCTGAGACTGTTACATTGTGTTGGGTATGAGAAGCCAAGCTGATAAATCTGCCAGGACAGGAAGGGACCCTAGGCAGGATTCCCTTTCCTTCTGGGATATGTGTGTAGATGCACATGAGCACAGGCAAGCATGCATGCGTGCACGTGCACACACACACACACATGCACCCGGGGAGGGGTAATAGTGCCAACTTACTAGCTCATACTGTACACTCTTACACATGCACACAATTCCTTCAAAGATTTTCTTTTGAAAAGTATCCTAAGAATGTTTCTGTGGCCCAGACACTTTCTTCTTCCCCCCTTTCATTTTGCCGCCCCTGCCCCCCATATCCACATCTGAGCTCCCTGATGAGAAAGATGCTATCCCGGTCTCTGTGCTCAGTGAGGTGAGGATTTGCGGGCTTCTAGACATTGTTTGCACACCCAGGTTTCACTTGGCAGGCAGACGTAGAGTTCGCTTATATGTAGCCGGTGCCTGGTTACTGGGGACTCTTCTTCGGAAGGGCCACATTACTAGACTCCTGAGCTTCCTCCACCCTCCGTACACACCATGGTCTGGAGGATGCACACAGCGATCCATCACACACATCACACTAATCTGGCACAGGTGTGTCATTCGGATTGCGAGGCACGCTCATAAGGCCTGCCTGTCCACTTCTGGACATTTCCTTTTAGTTGACTACCCTTGGCCAAAGCAAGGTTGCAGAGATGGGCCATGCCAAAGACAAAGGGAGAAAGGGCCACAGATGCCAGGAGGTCCTTAGGAAACACCATGCTCAGGGCATGCCATCTAGAAATGGTCACATTCAGACCCTCCCTAGGAGACATGGTGCCCAGAATATGTCATCGGGGACAGTCATACTCAGAGGTCCAGCTGGGGCTCAGCGAGGGTGGGAACACAGGGAGGGAGGGCAACTGGCCCCTTTTCCAGAAATCTCCGTCATTAGAGTCAGCTTTGCCTACTACGCCCCTCCAGCTACTGCAAGGAAATCTGGAGGTGTGGGAAGATGTGGGACGTCGGAAGGGGAGAAGGGTGTGTCTATAAACATGGAGGAGAGCCAACAAGGTAGTGGCATGGTATCACATGTCTTGTGTCCAACTAGGACCTAGGAAGCCAATAGAGGCTTCTGGGTAGATGGGGGTCCTCAGCGGGGACCTGGCGGGGGCAGGCTGGGCAACTCACATATGAATGGCTTCACCGTGCTGTGGATATGTTTGTGCTGTTTGAGGCCGGAGGATGTGGCAAAGGTCTTGCCGCAGTCGGGGCAGGCGTGGGCCCGGGCACCAACGTGCTGTGAGCGGATGTGACGCTGGAGGTTGCTGGGATCCGTGAACACCTAGGGGAATAGATGCTGTTGGTGCATGCATGCCACCGTAAGCCTAGGGGTCTGAGGGCTGGGCCCTGCCACTCTCCCTTGTCGCCCCTGCGTTGAGATGGTTGATACAGGTCTCGCTGTAGCAGCGATTACTAGAGGGACCTTAGTGGGATGTGGAACCTTTCCTGGCCTCGATTTCCCTGCCAGTGGCCTCAGAATACTGTGACTCAGAGACTCCAAAAATACTCAGTGTTTTCCAGAGCTTCACCCCTGCCACCCTCGGCATTGCACACTGGCAGGGGGCACAGGGCTGCCCCTGAGAAGACTCAGCTCTGGTCGTGGCTCTGTTTTTTTTGCAGAGACTTTCTGCCCTTCTCACTAATGCAGAAGGACCTAATGAGCTTAGGGCATCTGATCCACTACACGATATCTCTCAGCCTCTCAGGAGTTTTCCACACGTGGGGTGACTGCGTGCCCTACGGGGCGGGTGCCGGTACCTTGACACAGTTTTCACATTCGAAACGCTTGCCGCTGTCGTGAGACATCTGGTGGCGGATGAGGTTGGACTTCCAGTTGAAGGCCTTGGGGCACTGGTCGCATTTGTACTCCCGCTCCTCCGTGTGGACGATCATGTGTTGCTCCAAGCTGTGTACAGAGGATGGGGATCACTCTAGGGTCCACTTGTCTGGACGAGGAGGTCCCCTATCCCATATGGTTTGCTCTCCTGTGTGTGGCCCCTGCATGCTGGCTGCAGGTCCATACTCTTCCTCTTTTGGGGGTCACTGGGAATAAGAGAAGACAGCCTACCCATCTTAGAGGAAGAAGTCAGTGCCCGAGCCACCTTGACTCAAAGCTGCCCTGTCCTCCAGTCAGCCAGGGGCAGGGTGGAAGCCTAGGCGATCCTTGTCAGATGATCCCAACATTAGGGCTAAGTTTGTGTCTGATGCTGTGGTTGGAACTATAATCCCAGCATCCAGGAGGCTGAGGCAGGAGACTTTCGAGCTCAAAGCCAGCCTGTACCACATAGCTAGCCCATATCTTGAAGGATAAAACAAACAAAACAAATGCCCCCAAAACAAAACAAACAAAGCTTGAGCCTAAGAGAAAGTGTTCAGGGTACCAACACTGTCATAAGTCCCAGAGTAAGACCGAGGCCATGAAATTTAAGTCAGCCCTTGCTGGCTGACCAAATACCAATCAAGGAGTGGTGGGCAGTGGTGGAGTGGGTTGTGGATGAGAAGTACCACAGCAGTGAGAACAGCTGTTCTAGGGGCCGGCTCCTCTTGGCTGCACTAGCAACCCCTAAGCCCCTCCTCCCTGGGGACTCTGCCTCTCCTGTCCCCAGGATGACCGTTAATCTTCATGAGCAAAGCAGTAATATATCATGGCCCGTTAATTACGGGGCCCAGCCATCCGTTTAGAGCAGAAACGCCTGCTCCTCTAGCTCCCAGAGATTGTATCTTTTCCCTGTTGTTAATTGTGATTTATGTGTTTATGTAAAGAAAACACGGACCCTCCTCTCAGCCCTGTTTCTCTGCGACGCGCTCAGGCGGGATTTGCCCACACGCTTTTTCTCAGTCATCTGCTCAGGGTGGAGGGTCTGCTGTCCCCAGGGAGTCCGTGATGGGATTGGTGGCAAAGCCCTAGTAATCATAGAGCCTGTTAGTGGCCTGATGGGGTTTTGCTCTGACTTTGCAAGATTGTCCTGAGCAAACTCTTCAAAGGCAGGGCCTCTGAGGCTGGAAAAGTTCTCAGACTCCTCCATGCTTCGGAGCACTGGGGCCAGTGTGGTCCTGGCTTTCCCCACCCAGAACCTAGAATGCTCTTTTGTCCCAGGGGTTTATATAGGTCCCCAAGGATTCTGTGCCTGGGTCCCCACATTGGTCTGGCTTCAGGGCAGATTGGGCCTGCTCCAGCTGCCTGTGTCTGGCTGTCACTCAGCTGGGCTTGAAGCTCTCTTTGCCCATGGCTCTGCAGTCTCTCCCTGGCAGGTGGCCATGAATGATCCTTGAGTGGGTCCGTTGAGAAGGGCCGTGTATGTCCACAGAACAAGGTTGTTCTACATCCCTTCTACGGTGGATGCTGCACCCTGCACCTCTCAGTTTGGGGCCTTATTGCAAAAGTATCACTGGAGCCAGGTGGTGGCAAGACCACGCTGGTCTGTGAAAATAGAGAGTTCAGGCTGTGTGTAGGGCAATGGTGCCAGTGGCCTGCAGACCAGGCCCAGTGGGTCCTCCTGCTGGGGCCAGGCCCTTTACAGTGAGAAAATACCTGCAGCTTCCATCCAGCCACGTGCACCTACTCTGTTCCCAGTGCAGCGAGGCAGCAGGTAGGAGGCCTTGGTCTCCTAGCCCTAGTGTCCAAGACTGACAGGGAGGTGGGCTGGAGACCAAGGGACTGCCAGCTGGAGGGAGTGGGAGGTGGGGTGGGACGGCACCTGTATTTGTTGGGGAACATCCGCTCGCAGTCCTTGCATTCATGAGCTTGCCCATCGCTGCCCCGGCCAAGGCCCTCGGGCTTGAGGTCCTCCCCGAGGCCCTCGTAGAGCGGGGCCCCCGCAGAGCTGCAGGCATACTTCTTGTGGCGCCTCAGGTCCAGCTTGCACTGGAAGAGCTCATCGCACTCCTCGCAGCGGAAAGTGGGGTCCTCTGTAAGACAAAGGGCGAGGAGGTGAGCGGGGAAAGCCAGGCATCCAGCCCTGGATCCACAGGGGACCCATTGCCCCAGGGCTTCCATCCTACCCTGGCTGCTCCTACTCAGCTTCCTTCCAGCCCTTGTTCTGGCTGCGCAGGGGCGCAGAGGTCACAGGACAGACCAGACCATGCTGGAGGACCTCATCTCGGCATCGTGGAAACACTGAGCAATTTCAGGCTCCTCCCTGCATCCCTAGCGGTCACTGTGGATTCAAGGAGGCCCTGCCTTGGAGTGGAGAAGGAAGCCAGGCCAAGGGCTTTGTTTATGAATTAGGAGAAAAAAGCAGGCAGAACTCCATCGCATATAATAAATTATTGTCGTCAAGGTCAAACAAATTAAAGGGGGGCAGCTATTATTAAGTTTATGAGGCAGCATCCCGAGCACAGTGCCAAACCAAACAATTAGCCCGGAGCTGTAACTGGGGCGGGTCTCTGCACCCTGCCCCGCCTTCCTGCTGCTGTTAGCCTTTCAGCTTTCACCCAGGCCCGGAGAGAGAACACCTGCTCTCAGATCTTGCACAAAGAGGGCTTATGTGCACACGTGGGCATGAACATGTGCAGTCTGTGTGCGCTCTGAAGTTGCATGCGGATACGTATGCAACTGTGTCTGTGTGAGTGTCTCATCCCATCGGTACCCATGTTTGCGAAGCCACATGTGGATGCGAATGCATGCCTGGGTGTCTGCATCTAGACTTTGGTGAATGGGCACATGCACGTATGTGTACCTATGTGTAAGCATGGGTACACGATTATGTACATAGCTACATGTGTGATGTGTTAGCGTATTTTCACATTTGAATACACATGTATTTATGTGTGTCTGCATAAATGAACATGTAGGTATTCATGAAGATCTTCATGTGACTTTGTATGTATTTTTCTGTGTTATGTGTGCATGGGTATATGTGTTCTATACATCTGTGGACATGGATGATTATATAAGGTGTTTGTGTATACGTGTGTGGATTTGTGTCATTGTGTACACAGTTGTGAATAAGCATGCACGTGTTTGTATGTATGTAAGTGGTCACATGTTAGGGGTTTGCATTTGTATGCTAATGTGTGTGTCTGTGTCTATGAATGCTGCATGTGAGGGGCATGTTTGCATCTGTGTGCATGTGTAAATGTGTAGGGAGGTGTATTGGGTGGTTGTGAGGGCTGGCCTGGTATCCAGCAGTAAGCAGGGACTTAGATCAGGCCAGAGGCAGTGTTGCTCCTGGCCCTAGCTCTCACCAGAGAGACTACCATAGCCACAGACTGTTTCTGAGCCTACAGGAGATGCTTAGCATCTCCATGCCCTGAACAGCATGCAGTTCTAAACAGGGACCCTCTCCTGCTACCCAGAAGCTCTGCTGAGTGGAAGTGTAGAGGTGATGATATTCAAGTATCTGTCCTGGGCTGTACCTGGTACTCCTAACAGTGGGCACCAGGAATCCAAGGTGGGACTCTGCAGGGCTGGGTGTCAGATGCACAGCCAAGCCCAAGCAATGATGCTCACTATGACCCCAGTGCACTCAGCTAGTCATATCTGAGAAAGGGGAAGTGCCTGGGTGCCAGGGAATAGACACGTGTGTGTTTAGGGCTGACTGGAAGGCACTACTGATTTTCAGAGTCCAAACATCCTGGCCCCACTGGCTTACCTCAGCAACATAGAAGCCTCTTTTGGGAGGAAAATGAGACCATGGAAGGAAGGTGCTGTGGGTCCTTTGAGTCAGTGGAGTTCTTTCCTATATGTAGCCCTGCCATGCCAAGCTGTGCTGTGCTGTACCCTGCTGTGCCTGCTGTACAGTGCTGTGCTGTGCTGTGCTGTACAGTGCTGTGCTGTGTGCTGTGCTGTGCCCTGCTGTGCCTGCTGTACAGTGCTGTGCTGTGCTGTGCCCTGCTGTACAGTGCTGTGCTGTGCTGTGCCCTGCTGTGCCTGCTGTACAGTGCTGTGCTGTGCTGTGCCCTGCTGTGCCTGCTGTACAGTGCTGTGCTGTGCTGTGCCCTGCTGTACAGTGCTGTGCTGTGCTGTGCTGTACCCTACTGTGCTGTGCTGTGCTGTGCTGTGTGCGCAGTGCTGTGCCCTGCTGTGCCTGCTGTACAGTGCTGTGCTGTGCTGTGCCCTGCTGTACAGTGCTGTGCCCTGCTGTGCCTGCTGTACAGTGCTGTGCTGTGCTGTGCCCTGCTGTGCCTGCTGTACAGTGCTGTGCTGTGCTGTGCTGTGCTGTACCCTACTGTGCTGTACTGTACAGTGCTGTGCTGTGACCTGCTGTACAGTGCTGTGCTGTGCTGTGCTGTACCCTACTGTGCTGTGCTGTGCTGTGTGCGCAGTGCTGTGCCCTGCTGTGCCTGCTGTACAGTGCTGTGCTGTGCTGTGCCCTGCTGTACAGTGCTGTGCCCTGCTGTGCCTGCTGTACAGTGCTGTGCTGTGCTGTGCCCTGCTGTGCCTGCTGTACAGTGCTGTGCCCTGCTGTGCCTGCTGTACAGTGCTGTGCTGTGCCCTGCTGTACAGTGCTGTGCTGTGCTGTGTCTGCTGTACAGTGCTGTGCTGTGTGCGCAGTGCTGTGCCCTGCTGTGTCTGCTGTACAGTGCTGTGCTGTGTGCGCAGTGCTGTGCCTGCTGTGCCTGCTGTACAGTGCTGTGCTGTGCTGTGTCTGCTGTACAGTGCTGTACTGTACAGTGCTGTGCTATGTGCGCAGTGCTGTGCCCTGCTGTGCCTGCTGTACAATGCTGTGCTGTGCTGTGTCTGCTGTACAGTGCTGTGCTGTGCTGTGCCCTGCTGTGCCTGCTGTACAGTGCTGTGCTGTGTCTGCTGTACAGTGCTGTGCTGTGCTGTGCCCTGCTGTGCCTGCTGTACAGTGCTGTGCTGTGTCTGCTGTACAGTGCTGTGCTGTGCTGTGCCCTGCTGTGCCTGCTGTACAGTGCTGTGCTGTGCTGTGCCTGCTGTACAGTGCTGTGCTGTGCTGTGCTGTACCCTACTGTGCTGTACTGTGTGCGCAGTGCTGTGCCCTGCTGTACAGTGCTGTGCTGTGTCTGCTGTACAGTGCTGTGCTGTGCCCTGCTGTGTCTGCTGTACAGTGCTGTGCTGTGCCCTGCTGTGCCTGCTGTACAGTGCTGTGCTGTGCTGTACCCTACTGTGCTGTACTGTACAGTGCTGTGTGCGCAGTGCTGTGCCCTGCTGTGCCTGCTGTACAGTGCTGTGCTGTGCCCTGCTGTGTCTGCTGTACAGTGCTGTGCTGTGCCCTGCTGTGCCTGCTGTACAGTGCTGTGCTGTGCCCTGCTTTGTGTGCTGTACAGTGCTGTCCTGTGCTGTGCTGTGTGCGCAGTGCTGTGCCCTGCTGTGCTGTACTGTACAGTGCTGTGCTGTGTGTGCAGTGCTGTGCCCTGCTGTACAGTGCTGTGCCCTGCTGTGCTCTGCTGTGCTGGGAAACAAGGATTGTATTCTTGCCTTGGCTTGGAGGTCTCCACCCATAACATCTCCAGGGAAGGCCCTGAATTCCCCCTTAGGTGCCAGAGTGGGACCACATGACTCACAGGATAGGGTGGGGAGGAGGCAGGCACAGGTGATTCACACAAACAGCAATGACCTTCCATTTCTACAGAAGGAATGAACTACAACTCAAAGAGGGGTTCTTCTCAGAGCAGCGAGCTGTGAATATCGTGGATGCCCATGTGGAGACTCACGGGGCACTCTTTGGGGCAAGCAGCATGCCGAGAGCCTCCACCCAGGGGTATTCCCTGTATCCCTCCTCTGTCACTGATCAGCTGTGATGGGCACTGTTCACTATTTGGGCATGAGATGCAGGGTATCAGGGCCCTGACTTCCCACAGAGGATGGAGGCTGACAGTCAGACACTATTAGCATTTGGAGGCATTCCCGTCACCCTTCACACCAATCCTGGTGTGGGTTTTCAGAGTCTGGGCACACTAGGTACATGCTATCACGGAGTTCCCCATGCCCCCCGTGGTTCTACAGAGCTGCTGCTGAGGGCTGGAGGGGATGGATGTATGCAGATCATAGAAAGTCGGGAATAAGAAATGCTCATTGCTACCACACTCTTTCTAGACTGAAGAAGGAGAAGTCATTGTAGTTTAGGAGGAACACGAGATCATTGGCCACCCACTGGCTGGCCAAAATGTCTACTTCTGATTTGAAATTTGGGCTTAAAATGATTTTATTTTTAAATTAAATTAATTTTTTAAAATTTTTTATAAATTAATTTTTTAAGGCAGGGTCTCTCTATTTAGCCCTGGATGGCTTGGAATTCTCTATGTAGATCATACTGGCCTTGAACTCACAGAAATCCACCTGTCTTGCCCCCAAGAGGGTTGAATTAAAGTCATGTGCCACCGCATCAGGCCTTGGGCTTAAAATCTTAAAGGTAGGGATTTAATAAGAAATTCAGCTTGATTCTTACTTAGAAGTCACCCTGGAGGGGATGGAAATGACCTTGGTGGCAGCATTACCCTTCTCCTCTGCCCCATGTGTCTTCTGGACTTCAGTTTGTCTCTGCAGAAGGACAGAGTTTGGGATGGGACATGCCTCTGCCCGGGTGACTGGGGCGGAAGAGCCTTTTAGATTCTTCTGGGTAGGGAGGGCCGGCCTTGGGCATACACCTGGGGCACACCGCACACCACTTTTATTTTCCCAGAACACAAAATTCCATCTAAGGAAGTGTTGAAAGGGCAGGTTATACTGGTATTATGTCTATTATAGCCCATCACGGCCCGGGTCTCTCCTGCGCTCACCACACAATGGGCTGCATCGTGGAGCGGTGAAGTGGATTGCCAGGGAGCTTTCTAAATGAAGTGAGTGTTTGAATGCAAACGATTTCTTTTCTCCACGGAGCAAGTGCTTCTCAGGAAAGAGAGAAAGAGAAGTCTGCCTCCTTCATCCACTAATCAAAGCATTATAAGGTCACCTGACTAAGAGTGGACCATACCAGCCGTCCTTCTGACCACCTGTGAGGATGCTGAGTTGGCAAACCCATCCAGGGCTCCAACTCTGTAGCTGGTGTATCTGTACAGGGGAGCCATGCCAATTCCTACCCAAACCAAGGGTTCCATTTCTCCCTCATCACAACGGCCCCGACCAGACCTCCAGAACCCCTCTGCCACAAAAGCACAGGAGAGAAACTGGAAAGAAACTCTATCTAAATGTGGTGGGGGTCTTAGGCTGCGGTAGATCAACCTTCCACCAAATTATACTGCAGCGGCACCTGCCCGTCAACCCTGCACCTCCCTTGTCTAGCTTCAGTTCCATCATCAACTTTCTCGGCTGAACAGGAATGTTACAGCAAAATAAATCCCTGCCTAATGGCTTTGAGACTGAGGGGTTCACAATTACACGGCACCCGCATCCCAATCTACAACTCCAGCTCAAAAGAGCTCAAGAGTCTACTCCAAATTCCTGTGGCGATAAGGGGCTGGCTGCATTTAGCCCGGGCTGGGATAAAAGATTTTTTTTTATGATAATTATCTGAGTGAGGGACGCGTTTGCATTTTCTTTCTGTGCAATTCTGAGTTTAACTAGGGTGTGTGTTGGGGGAGTAGCTGTTGGGGTGGCAAAGGAGGGATCTTGACAGCAGAGGTTAGGAAAGTCAAATGTTTGATGTCAGACTATTATGTGCGAAAGTAATTAGCTCACAAATGTTTGATCAGTTATTAGGAAAATGGAGAGTGGGTTATTTAATATCGGGGCGGGAGGTGTGTGTGTTGGGGGGAACAAGAATCAAGGCTTTTAAAAATCTTTTTGGAAGAAAGACATTTCACCGCGTGAATGGAGCTGCGTGGGTGAGGATTCTCCTCTCAGTTCAGAAGATTCACAGGTCCATTCAGCAGTGATTTTAAGGAAAAGACCCCCCCTCATCTTGTTGCATAAGTCTTGGCAATTCATTTCTGCTTTCCCGATCGCTTAATTAAACCCAAAATTTAGAGGCAGAGACAGAGGACCTTGTCTGGTAAAATGGTCCTTCCACCCCAATTTCTTGTCTGACAACTTAGAACTGTGTATTGCTGCAGAAAAAAAACAACGAGGCACTCTGTCACTGGCAGGCTTGTAGGGTCAACAGAGAAACTGAGGCAGAGTTCCACAGGTGTGGTCACAGAAACTTGTGCTAAATCCAGTGGGGAGCATTGAGAAATTCTTGTGTTTCCTGAGGGAGTCCAAGGCACTGGCCTCACAGAGAAGAGAATGGACTTATTCTAGATACTAGAAACATTTAGGGGACATTTCTTTTTCTATTCACTGGTAGCTCAGTCTTAAAAAAGAAGAAAGACATGAGGGCTGGGAAGATAACCAGAAACATGCTTGCTGCGTAGCACAGGCCCTGAGTTAATCTCCACGACACGTTGGTATGGTATAGTAGTAGTCGTCAATAATCCCAGCACTGGTAGGGCGGAGACAGGAGGGTCCCTGGGGCTTGCTGGAATCCAGTCCTTGGCTAATTACTGCAAGCTCCAAGCTAGCAAGAGATCTCGTCTAGACAGCACCAGATGAATGACAGCCATGGTTGACCTCTGGCCTCTATATGCATGCCCACACATATGCACCTCCCCTGCATGCACAGGAAAACACAGAAACGCCTCCTGTGCCCCACAAGAAATTAGACACAAACCCTTGAGTTCCCTGGTCATCAATGACCATGGAGGGCCAACAGACTCACTCTTCGTTGCCGACATAGTCCTCTCGAAAGCAGCTGTGCCAGGACCTTGAGTAGACAGACACAGACTCGAGGGGATATAAACCGTGTGTTGGAACACCCAGAGTGTGTGAAACCGGCTTCCTCTCTAGTTCATCTCAGAGGTGCTCAGGTATACAGTGGCGAGCAGGAGTACCTGCGGACACACCCTAACAGATGGGTACCTATTTGCATCGAGAGCTTAAGGACACATCCTACTGTGACTCCATTGTAGCCCTCAGCTAGCTGCCACCATTGCTTCTCCCCTGTGTTTCTCCAGGACTTTTAATTATTGGTGGGGATCACTTCCAGAGACAGCCTGGCTGCTCTCCCCTCCTACGCGGGCTGGAGTCATTCAAAAAGGAGAGCTCTGGGTTCTGCCTGGCCTCCCAAGTACCAACTAGGTTGGGGTCATTTACTACAAAAAGCTGGTAAGAGGAATACACTTGAAACACCACCCAGGGGCTGCAGAGATGTCTCAGTGGAAAAAAGACTTGACACATAAGTGCAAGGACCAGAGTTCAGATCCCCAGTGCCCATCTAAAACCCAGGTAGGTGTGACTGTCTCTTGTAACCCAGGGCTCAGGAAGTTGAGACAGTGGTCCCCAGGCCGAGCTGGTTAGCTAGACTAGACAAACCTGGGAGTTTCAGTTTCCACAAGAGACCCTGCCTCAGGAAAGTGGAGAGCCAGCAGGGAAGACACCCAAGAACAACTATATGTAAATGAGTACACATGAGAGCACATACCCACATACATATACCCCACACATGTATGTATGCTTATATGTACATAAGCACACACATATATATATATACATAAAAATTCATTTTCTGGGTCACCAACACTATATAGATAAAATTCAGCATAATGCTAATTGTCTTACATTGCCTCAAGCCCCTATTCAGAATGTTGTTTTGAGGCCTCAAGGAAAGGTAGGGGTCTCTAGTCTCAGGGGTAAAGGGCTGGTAGCCTGTTGTGCTGATTGGCTTTATAGTACTATTATTATTATAATTATCATCATCATCATTATTATTATTGTTATAGAACAGAGTTGTCTGGGAAGAGAGAACCTCAACTGAGAAAATGCCTCCATGAGATCGGACCTAGGCAAGCCTGTAGAGCATTTTTGAAGTTAATGATTGATGTGGGAGGGTTCAGCTCAGCATGGGTGGTACTACCCCTGAGCAGGTGGTCTGGGTTGTATAAGAAAGCAGGCTAAGCAAGCTATGGGGAGCAAGGCAGTAAGCAGTACTCCCCCATGGCCTCTGCTCCCAGGATCTCGCCTTCAGTTTCTGCCCCTGCTCCCAGGGTCCTGCCTTTAGTTTCTGCCTCTGCTCCCAGGGTCCCGCCTTCAGTTTCTGCCTCTGTTCCTATCAGCAGACGGTGACTTGGGATATGTATGCCAAATCAGACCATCTTTCCCATGTTGTCTTGGTCACGGCCTTTATGACACTGAGAGAGACCTGAGTCATACACCTGTGGTCTGCAGAAGCTCAGCCAGGGCATCGGCTGGCAAGACCTGCTGGCAGGCAGGGGCGGCACAACACTCATGTTCTCCCAGGTGGGTGGGGGTTCAGGGCCACAGCTCAGTAGGCTCTTACCATCCAGGCTGGGTGCCACGACACCCAAGGAGTAGGCACCTTCTTTCACGTGCGCCAGCAGCTCTTCTCCAGGCTCGATGTCCTTGATGACTTTATAGTAAATCTAGGAGACAGAGATTAAAGACAGAAAGTGAACACTGAAGCAGTGTGTTCTCATGGCAGAGGTACTCACAGACCACGGAGCTTCCCCACAGAGGTGTCCATGGACTACGGAGCTTCCCTGCAGAGGCACCCACGGACCACGGAGCTTCTCCTGCAGAGGCACCCACGGACCACGGAGCTTCCCCCACAGAGGTACCCATGGACCAGCTCCCCACCACTGCAGGGCTACCCAGAGAGGGGGCTGGCCTGAGGGGGCCACTTCACCCAATTTTTAATTTAAAAAAAATGTTTATTTTATGTGTATGAGTGTTTTGCCAGCATGTAAATACACCACATGTATGCAGTGCCTGAGTAAGCCAGAAGAGGGAACTGGATCCCTTAGAATTGGAGTTATGGTTGCCATGTGGGGGCTGGGAAGCCTCCAGAACAGTGGTTCTCAACCTGTGGGTTGCAACCCCTTTGGGGTCAAAGGACCCTTTCACAGGGGTCACGTATCAGATATTTACATTATGATTCATAACAGTAGGAAGTGACGGTTTGTTATGGTTGGAGGTCACCACAGCATGAGGACCTGTATTAAAGGGTCACAGCATGAGGAGACTGAGAACCACTGATCTAGAAGATCAGCAATAATCTTAACTGCTGGGCCGTTTCCTCAGCCCCCAAACTGCTTGTTTTTTCATTTAAACAAATTTTATTATATTTACTTATTTTTGTGTCTACTGGGGGAGGGGTAACATGTGGATCTCAAAGGACAACTGATAGGATCAGTTCTTTCCTCCAACCATGTGGGTCTTGAGGATTTAACTCAGGTCAGGCTTGGTGGCAGGTGCCTGCTGAGCCATCTCCCTGGCCAGATCCGACCGTGAAGAAGGTCTTTCCCCAGAACTTCTACAGCATATGAAGAAAGGAGAGGAACTGAGTCCATTTTAATTCGTCTCATTTTGCTGATAGAAAGGACAGGAGAAAGCCCGAGAGTTGGCTCAGTGGTTGTGAAGTGGTTAGTTCCCAACACCCACATGGAGGCTTGCCACTTCCTCAGGTGCCAGGCATGCCAGGGGTACCCTAGGAAATGTCCCAGATTACAGGGACTTCCCTCTGGGAATGCTCCAGTCTATTCTCAAACCTCCTTCGTCAATGCGTGCCCGAGACACTTGGCTCTAAGGGGACCTGAAAGTTCTGGGTGTTGGTGACTTGTGAAGGCGCTTTCCAGCTGGGCACAGGCCCAGTGGGCGAGGTTGCTGCCATGCGTGACTTTTATACCAGTGCGGCAGGTGTGAGTCTGGCAAGCCAGGGGTGGCATGGTGTGCATGCCCGCCAGGAGCTGCATCCAGCAGGTGACAGGAGTTTGGGGGACAGGGGTGGAGTTCTATGCCTGGAGGGAGGGAGCCCTGAGGCTGAGACAGCTACATTTGGGGTGTCCAGTTCAGCGGTAGGATCTGAACCAAGACTGACAGGGGTACCCTAGCAAATGTCCCAGATTACAGGGACTCCATTCGGGATACTAAACTGTCAGAGCACTGCAGGTGACTTTGGGGTGTGTCTGTGTCTTCCCTGACTTTGCCCAGGCTCTGTCTCAAAGACTCCAGAGGCCCAGTCTCTCCTAGTGCAGGTCCTGGGCCTCCCAGGAGCACAGTGACTCAGTATCTCTTATCTGGAAACGTCAGACACGTGGCTTCATCTCTCTCGGGTAACTCACTGCCTACCGCAGAAGTGGTCTGCTTGGGACTCTCTTCTGATGTTAGGACTGTCTAGGGGTGGGAGAAATACCCAAGAGACACCAGCTGCTCTGGGGAGGCTGGGCACAGGCCCATCCAGCTGCCCTAGGCTAGCCTTCTGCATTGTTGGAGGGGGACAGGGCATGAGGAAGAGGAGAAGAAAAAACATTTTAAGAGAAGACAAACTTGCCTAAGCCCAGGAGAGAGGCAGTGATTCTCCTGGCCATAAATGGTAAACAACATTTCTGTTGCCACTAATTGGTCCTGGCAGAGGTTTGCCCTATAGATACTGAAGGGAGCCTGGTGCGCCCGCTTGCCTCCCAAGAATACAGTCCTACCTAGGGCTAAGGGCAGCTAGCTCCAGAGTGACACCTGGGAGTCACTAAAGAACACAGAAGAGCCCCACTGGGTCCGCAGTGCCCATTGGCTGTCACGAACACCAGACAGCGGAAGTGCACAGCCAGGAACCTGCAGGCATACCCAGCAATCTTATCAGTGAGACAGTCCTTCACAGATCAGCTCATAGTAGTAACTTGATCGGGCGTTAGTCTCAGGGAGGTTGATAATACAAAGAGGTTTTAAAATGGAGACTAGAAATGGGATCAAGAGACTTCTTGAATAAAACCAATGGTTTCTGAGATCCCTGCCACATAGCATCTGACTAACCTATTTTCTTGAAGGTCAGACTCAAGCCACCTTGCTTTAGAAGAGGATCCACCCACAGTTGCTCCAGCGTGAGGGACTGAGGCCACGCAGGCACCCCCTGAGCTGGAGGGGAGGGTGGGTGTCAAGCTGTTAATAAGCTTACTCACGAATCCCTCTGGCAACAGAGCACATACAGACACATACAGCAAGTACAAGCTTCATGCCCATGGCTCAGTGACAATGTGGTAGGTGACCTGATGTTGGGTACAAGGGCTGGAAGAGGGGACTGAGAGCTTGGCCCCTCGAGGTCCTTGAGTTAGAGCTAGCCAACAACTGGCTTTGCTCCCTGCTGCAATCACCCAGATTGCACGAGGCCATGGTTACCATGCCAGCAGTGTGTCCTCCTACCAGCTGGCTGCTGGGTACCTATTCCGAGAAGTGGGTAGAGGGGAGAGCACCCATCCTTTCCACCCGCAACATTTTTCAGGCTGCCAGCCTTTCTGGCCTGCACCCCCTATCACACTTCTGGTTAGGTTGACTGACCTCCAGGGTTCCTCTATACACACACTACCTCCTTTCTCTCTGAGCTAAAGGAATCTGGAGTCTTGCCACCTGATTCTGGTTCAGAAGGCTACAGGGTCATCAGCTTCTGTCCTGGTTCCTTTGAAGGTAGCTGTCCTCCTGGAACCCACTCCTATCCACCCCCGACCGTTTGGGGGCCGCTGGGCCTCCTGACTCCTACTTTAGCTCTAGGGCTGCCCAGCCTCCCTCCCCCTCATACCCTCTGAGGGCTGGGGCATTCCGGGGACTCCACACCCTCCCACACCTTTGTTCCTTGGCTCACCGGGCCTCCAGGGACCTCTACTCCGGTTCTGTAGACAGGAGCCTTCTGGGACCCTCCCACCAGCATGGACACCGCAAGGCGAGCCACAGTAGGGCCACAAGTATCCCTTTCTCATCTTCACAGAAGGGCCACCAGGGCCCCAGTCAGGGACATGTGGGGACCACAAGGCGGCAAGTTAGGCAACTGTGGCCAGTAGGACTTTGAGCCCCGGACGTAATTAATCAATCCCTATTAGTGCTAATTGCACAGGCCAGGGCGGGGCCCAGGTGCCCCAGCTTGCCTCCACCTGGAGAGCCAAGGAAATGAACAGGAATCTTCACAGACGTTCCTGAAGTCTCGGCTACCTTAGGCAACCACGGGGGCACATACAGAAGCCAGCCCATGCTTTTATGACCTGTCGCAAGTGGTACAGCCTTTATCAGCCAGCCATTCTGAGAAAGTCAGTTCCTGCTCTGTGGAGCTGGGTGACTTCCCTTAACAAAGGCCAACTTTGGTCGGAGCTGGCACTGTTGGTTGGGGAGCCAGGTTGAGGGGGGACAGGATAGGGCATCTCAGTCTTAAGCATTGCTGCCCACTGTATGCTCCAGGCCCCTTCTGCGCCTGGCCTATAATAAACTATAACCGTCGTCTCTTAAGATTCTTGCCAACTGGTTTACTGCATTCATTTGGAGTGCACTGGTCCCTGACCATTAGCTTCACAAGACAGGCTGCGAACAAGGAGTCTAGGAAACCCAGGAGTATGATACCCTCCAGCCCTCAATGGTGGCTGCAGGAAGAAGCTGATTGCCTTCTTTCTAAACCACAGTGACACATGTTTTAGGCACATGAGTCCTGGCGTCCTGTCACCTCAGATCTAGTGGCTATTCCTTGTCTGAGAACTTGGTGGCAACAGCTTCTTTCCAACAATTGGCTTCTGTTGGTGGCACTCTGAAATAAGGACACAATCAGGCAGAGCCTGAAGCTGAGCCCCAGTTTCTCCCTCTCCACTCCCCTCATCCAGCAGCGGCAGCTCAGTCTGGGCCAACACCACTGCCTGTAACTACTCTTCCATCAACCCAAACTATTTTCTTTTCCCTCTGTCATGCTCCAGACACAAAGAGATGGCTCCATGTCGTAGAGAGAACTTGGAACCTTCTCACTGAAAGGTAGACACCTGCTTGGGGATCAGGTTCAAGCCTCAGCACCCTTCACACAAATGAGCATTGGGGATCAGGTTCAAGCCTCAGCACCCTTCACACAAACGAGCATCCAGAAGGCAGTTTACAATGGCTGCCAGTCCTCAGATCCTTAGGGCCCTTGGCTTGTACTGAAGATACTGTTTAGTGATTATGAGCAAAGGCGACAGACACCCCACAGTGCCCAGGCCTGCTATGTCTGAGCATCCTAGCACTGAAATAAAAGAAAAACCCCTTGCAGAACGGAAATGTGGTGAGCATGGGCTTAAAATCAGTGGACATGCAGGTGGCTCCGTCAGTGTCCCTGCATCTCCTCGCTCCACACGCCCGGCTGTAATAATTTCATCTGTGCGGGAGCCTCTATAATTTTGTTACTGTATGCTCTGCCACTGAAAAATTTTAAAACATCCTTATGCATTTATCTCTTCCTTTGTTGCACAGTTTGGATAAGGATCGTAAAATATCAAATATTAGCCCATAGTTAAATAATCAATGCCGTTACATGGCTCCCAACGAGGGACTGCATTTAATTAATGGAAGATAAATTCTGACAAGCAGTTGTTGTATTGGGGCCATCACCACAGCTGAAAATTGAATTTAAGCTTAGCTGCTCTCCAAA